AAGTACATCATTATACACATCATTATTTGAACAGTGACCTACTTGTGTTATTTTATGTTAGCCAGATTTTAATCAAGTAACAGATATTAACTGATATTAGCTTAAAGCTAATTTGACTCTGATCTTTAGAGGGAATTCAGGTCCTAATTTGAGGAGAGTTTCAGGAGTTATGAGGTCGCCTATTAACTGCAGCGCTCTAAATCTGTTTGATCTATGGCGTGGAACTGCACTACTTATGGACCTTACAGTTTACACAGTACATCATAATAAAAGTACATTTCTTATAGACTTTGACTTACCTCTAAAAGTCCTCGTTTCAATAGGAACATTTGATCTGCATAAGATGTAGCACCTCTGAGGAAACTTTCTACTGCCCTAGCCTGCCAGAATCTATGGAATAATAAAGAGCAACATTTATAGAAATTCCTCTTTTGTGTGTGCAATCATTCAGATAACACCAACCTAAAGGATGAATCCGGGGGCTCTCTTTTCATAACAGTAAGCAGGCGTGTGAGAAGACCCTTCTTCCCATCACAGACCAAGCTTCTGTCAGTGTTCACCAGTGCCTCCACCTCGGGGATGTTGGCCTTCATGGATATGGCACTCAGTTCATTCAGCTCCTGGCTGTTCAGCAGGAGATACTTGTTTCTGAAACATAAACATCATCATTTGAAAAAGCAAATATTTCAATGTTAGAGACAAGCTTTAGATGCTCCACTCACTCGTGGTGATCACTAAAGCTTTGAAGGAGACGTAAAAACTGGATCTTAAAAGAGATTTCCTGCAAAAAGAGAATAATTGGTTTTATTATTAAGTAAAAATGTTCAATGTTAAAAACTAAACTCAAGGAGAAAATCTTCATACTGGGCTACAGTCGCAGTTTTCATTCTGGCCATGCACCACATGATTTGAAGAAGTGTACTTCCTCCATATCAGCTTGTCAAAAAGATTATTGAGACCTGGAATGAGCCGAAATTCTGCCAACATCTTGTGAACCTGTACCAAATAGACAAGTTAAAAGTGAAACTAACACCAATCTCATAAGGACTCTGTACAGTACCTGATTTCTCTGACGGCCCATAAGGAGGACACACAGAACATAGAGCACTTCTACTTTGTACATAATCTCATGGACAATCTTCATTGACTGTGGCAGGCGATGTCTGAGTGGGCTGGTTGCCAAGGAACTCTCATCCGAAGATTCTTTAGGGGATAACAAAACTATTGGTGAGCACAGTTTCTATGACACAAGAGAGCCCACTATATGCAGCCAATGTTACCGGTGCTGCTTTGCTCGGCCTCCTCAGTGGCCATCTGCATAAGGGCATCCAGCACCAGGGCGTTGTCCAGCCACGTGTACCAGTCCTCCAGCTCTTGAAGAAAGTTTGCCCCAGTGGCCTCAGATACCTTCCGGGTGGCCAGCTTACAAAGGCGCTCAATGAAGCCAGGAATATTAAGCAAGGTGACTATGAAGGGGGAAAAAAGGAGGGAAAAATCCTCATGTATATACAACCATTATATAACAAAAGCAACAACAGTAAGAAGAGTATTAGTGACTAGAGAGTTGGTGATGGTTTACATTAGTATGCGTTTAATGTTTCACCATAACCCCAAAGCAAGTTCCGAGTTTAGTTAATTCTGATGGGTGAATAGAGCGGGTTCAAAAATGTATACCCATTAATAATAGGGCATGCATTTTTATAATAATAAAAAAAATCCAATAACCATTTATTGTTACTGAAAATCCCAATGAGCATATCTTACATGGGTTTAGGCATAGAAATTGCATAGGCATTTATGTGATTTGTCTCAGCTTACCTTGGTTAACCTCAGCTCGTGAAGGACTGGCATTGCGTTTCTGCTGAGCATTTTTAGCCAGAAGTGTGTGTTTGTCATCGTTTCCCACGTCCGGTTCAGAGATGGTGACAGATAAGATGCGACAGAAGTTTGCCAGCTGCTGTTGGTCAAAACTTTGGACCAGGCCTGACAAGTTAGGAATGCCCTCCAACTGGATCATCTCCTTCAAAAATAACCAAATCATTCAAAATATGCATGCATGGATAAATCATATCTTCTACTTGTTGATTACAGATCAATTCATAAAACTACTCCTTGAAATTGGTCTGAAAAGGTAAAGATACATTAGAATTGTTGTGGGAAGATTTGACATAATAGTTACTTTGATATCCATATCCATTTCAATTACTAACTGTATGCCAGGAGAGTCAATGTCAGGTTTTAAGCAACTAGAGTTAAAAAATTAATTTCAGAAAAATAAAATTAACTGACCTTTTTCACTCCTAGGATATCTTCAATTAAAGTAGCAGTCTGAAGGAAGGTCTTTTTATTTGTCATTAAGGTGAACAAAAACAGAACAAAGTCATCCCTTGCTGCCAGGCTCCTTGTAACCCCCTCCGTCTGTAAATGGAAAGATAAAAGTAATGCAAGTGGCAAAGAGCACCCATGTACATTTGATACATTGATTTTGATTAGTGGGTCAAGGAGTAAAATGTAACCAGATACTTACACATATGCAGCAGTTGTAGAGGACGCTGAGGCAGTCCTTGACCAAATCATCATTCACTATAGCAGCAAAGATAACAAACAACAACAAAATGACTTATATTACATTGGCAAAAACAGTTATTCAGTGGTAATAAGTCATACTTTTGGGTTTTTTCTTCTGCATAGTTAGCGTGGGCCTCATTAAGATTTCCACCAGCAGCTGGAAAGATGGACATGATCAGTAAGCATTTCAATGGTGTTATTGGAAATATCAGGTCAAAAACAAACTTACATCAACTCCACCAAAGAGATCAAAGGTGTAAGTGTTGGGGAAGGTGGATTCCTGAGCAGTCTTTCTATCCTCAGTGACAAAAGACATGGCCTCCATGGACAGTTGTGATGATAATACCTGTAAACATCATATTTTTACAAGATTTATCCAATACAGTAGTCTAGTCTAGTGCAGAGAGAGCACAGAGACAGACTTACCTTAAGGAGACTGTGAGCCTGGGAGAAGTCACTGTTGGGATGGCTGCTTTCATACAGCTTCTGAAGGAGGGTGGGGATGCCATGCCACTTTGCACGTTTATCCCTTTCCTGGAGCAGACCTCCTGGGAGCTGCAGCACATCACAACATATAGAGGACACTGTTGGCCTGCTACTGAATGTTGCTACAGTCCAGTCTGTCTATTCTCACTACTGACAATGCAGTGTACATACTGGTTTTGATTTGTTCTGTGCTAATGCAGTACCCAAAATATCCTAAATACTGTATAGTGTGAATCATTTGAAGTTGGCGTTTGAGTGAAAAAGGAGCCTCAATCCAAATACTCTTGAGCGACCATAAAACAGTTAAAAGGGACATCCCCTTAGATGCGTTTAAACTGTATGTTGTAGGTCCTTTGTAAATGAACTTAAAACATATTTGCATTGTTTTGCGCCACCTTCAGCGTCCAGGGGGGTAAAGTTAAGCCTGTCAAAGGAATAACTGAAAACACTTTTTGTAAATATCTATACCACATACAATGAATAAAATAACGAAATAGCGTTAGTAAATAGAAAGCACCAAAACACAGAGGTGATGACAGCTGTTATGGCGTATCCATGTAAGGAAACCATATTATTGTGGTTAGGATGTCGTTACGTAATGTTCTGAGCTATTCTGGCTTACCAAATCAAACTACCATACACTACCATTTGGACAACACGAAGGAGTAGAAGTACCTGAGTATACTCCACATCTTTTAAATAAATGTGTCAACGCAGCTGATCTGGTCGCAAGTTTGCTCTGGTACATTGCTTTAGCAGAAATTTTATGGCTGTGCTAACTTGGCCTACGCTAAGCTAACAGTGCTAACAACAAAAGAGCCCCTTGAAACGGAGCTTATGGTGGATTGCAGACAATTTGACGTGTCAGTTAGCAAATCTGTGTTCATTGAACTCATAGCAATATATGTTTACAGTATATATACAATAAAGAGAGAGTATTCTTAGCGTTAGCTTGTAAACACTGAGGTGCGAAATGAGTCTCCGTACAGCGTCTTCATGATCAGGCTACATTCCAGGCGCAAGTCCCTGGTTTATGTCGACCAACTTTCGACTGCCTTTATGTTGAAATATGAGCTCACCTGCGTCCCTCGGCTGAATCCGCGGCCAGTAACTTTACTGATCGTGAACTTTGTGACAATATTGCCCTGACAACGTCTTCTTTTTGCTCCACTAAAAGGGGACTCGGACCCCTGAAGCGTCGCCATTATTTCTTCTTCCTGAACTGGACTGTTCACAGGAACAGCACAGGCGCTACAAAATAAGGGCCAAATGCGCCATCTGCTGCGCAACCGAAGCTCTGTCAATGATGGCTTCACTGTTTTAAAGTTACACCCACAGAACGTGGGTACACAGTACCATCACATCACATGTAACTTTTCTATCTCCAGTGACAAGCAAGGGATGCCACCAAGCGATTTTACAGTATGAATGCATGTTTTTTAAGAAATTCTAAGAAAAACCCTGTGGCCTAATTGACTATGTAAGCTGATATAGACCTCATGCCATACAGTTCAGGCAGTAACACTTCCATGGAAACAAGTAGACTAAGTGGTGGCCTCCCTCAAGAAAAGTTACATATAGTGAACAGTTTAAATTAAACAGCTTTTGTGTGGCTAGGTCAGATTAAATAAAATAACCCAGGAGGACTAGGTGACTATTTCAGTATGTCAAAAGGTTGGATATTGAATTTGGGTAGTAGGCCTATTAGATAGCTAGGCTACATTTTGAAAAGAACTACAGTAGGCCTACTCATCAGTTGGTCCTTATTCTACATTATAGGTTGCAACTATTGATCATATTATTTCATGTTCTCTCTATAAGGGAGCCTTTAAATTTTAGCTATATCTGGATGCCATTCCTATTGCATCCATAATTACACCTAGTTGTTTGGTACATACAGTAACACTGGTTTCATATAAAATTCAACTAGACAAGACATTTAAAAAATCCAGTTTAATACATAGGCAAGGTTATAAACACAGAACACGACATCAAATAAATAAAAATTACAATAAGATTAACTTTAACAACATTTCACACATTTTCTGATACATTCCTTTCTAATTCACAAAGATTGTACTGATGCTGAGACTTGCAGACTCAACTTTGAACAGTGTAGTGTTGCAGGTATTTGTTGCACTGTGTCCTTTAGGGCAGACAGGGCAGGGTTGTCTCTCTGACTGCTTTTATGGTCCTCTCTCAAGTGTCCCAGCTGAAGTCACTGCCTTCTGTCATCTGCAGGTAAGAGTTGATGGCTTCACGCAGGCCTTCACTCACCAGGGAATTATCTGACTCTGTTCTTTTCTGCCTAAAAATTACAGACCTGAAAAAAACCAAAAAAAAAAACAAAAAAAAACAAAAAAACAGAAACATCAAGATTAGTTAAGCTACTCTATAAAAAGGCACAAACAATCCACACTGTAAGGACTATTAATAGTTAACATATTGTCCTTTTAAAGAAATATGTTTGAAGTGAACATAAACACTTAACAACATAGACTTACCACAACAAGTGAAAATATAATGCAAATTAGATTTGTCAATAACATATAACTAGAGAAAAAGGCTTGATCTGAAACCAAAAGTAAAACCACAACCTCATAATATTACATTTTAAATCAAAAACAAAAAACTTGGGGAAATGTTATATAATGTTTATTCTCAGATTAGCAGATGCAGGTGTAAGAGCCATAGTTTAAGAATTTATTCTAAAATGTCTGACATGCCAGCCCCTCTGACTTTTTGGTTTGGCACAAAATCTCTAAAACAGCATGCTTCAGCCTCACCTGCTTATATCCTTCCAGTTCAGAGTAGGTCTTCTGATGACCACTGGTGTAGGTCTGATGTTGTCCAAACCACCAATATAGCAGGGCTTTGTCAGCTGGCAGCACAGTCCATCTGCATTCTCTGCAAAAAGCAACATCCAACATTGGACTTTGTTTTTTGATACATTGTTGTGTTCATAGGCATACACTATAATCATAATCTGTATTGTGATGTTATGGCTAAGACATTTCTGATGTGTCCTCACCTGTGTAGTGGTTGATGAGGTGCTGCAGGCTGGGGAAGGTGAGTCCTGGAGAGATGAACACCCATCCGTTTGGGAGGTGACATATACGGTAATGCTTCACACTGTTCATGAATGAATGAGGCCCTTTCCTCAGCACAGACAGTGAGTAACAGTCTGCAGAAAGGATACAAAATCCTTATAAGTTTATCCAGAAATACCAAGTGACTTCTACAGGTGACATATTATTATTTCCTTAGCATTTTTACTGCATTTGAATGAACATTCAAAAACAGAAAGTAAAAAAAAAAAAGAAGTCTTCATAGAGATATCATTGCTTTGTTTGGTATGCTTCACAGTATGACACTAAACTCATAAATCTTCATAGAGACAAGCAAGTGGCTTTACCAGGCCAAGTCACAGATCAGATCTGCGGAGTGGCAACCCCATTCACAATAAGAATGCATGTTTTTCAAGCTATTTTGAACAATAAAACATCTGCAATTTGATAAAAGTAAGATTTATTTGATGTCATACTGAAGAACAAAGCTATTGCAGCAAGGAGGTGCCAGACCCTCCACCAAAAAAGTTAGTTACACCTTAGCAAGGTAGAGTTGAATATTAATAGTGAATAGTGAATTAAAATTAAGTTTTGAAGAGGTCTTGTGTTTGATGACATCCTGTTGCTTGATTACATATAAGCATAATGTGAAACTTTAAAATGCTTTTCTCAATACAGTTACATTTTCAAGTGTCAGTAGTTTTGCTTTGAATATGTTATACTACCCCAATCTTCTTGAATCAGTTTGATATGTAATTCTAACAGTAAAACATACCTTTATTTGTCTCTGATTCACGAATTAGAAATGATCCATTTATGTTTTGTGGGAGCATAAGAAGTTCCACTGCTTTCAACCTACTGATTCCTGTGTATAACCACCTACAAAAAAACAAAAAAACAAACAACATAAGCAAAGTCACAAGTCAGTAAGTTGAATACATATCAAGTCATCCCTACATGGAAAACAAATGTTCTGCTGATGTCAAGTAAGGGAAATCCAGTGTTTAAAAGTTACCACTGGAGGAGTAATGAAACATACTTAATGTCAGTGGAGAGAAAAGGCTTCTTACATGTTTCCTATGTGGGACTTATTACTTAAAACTAATGACTGCGTACTCTAAACAACCGATGACTCACCTGTGCGTTACTTCAGCCGTGCAGTTAGTGGGTATATAGCTCTCACGCTCTGTAGTCAGTGATTTTACCATCATAAAATCACCATCACTAGGAAAAACAAAATGGGACAAATTAGTAACAGGCAAGGATGACACTAGATTTTATCAATGGGTAAAGTCAGAAACATTTTAATGGAAAATAGAGGTAATTCCTAGAATACGTATGCATTTTTATGGCAAACTGGGCAGTAGTTAAGAGTTATTTGTGAATGAATTTCTTGTTGTTTTTATAAAGTGGAATTAATGAGTAAGGAATTATGGGGAATACATACTCTGATGTGACAGTAAGTCTATCCCCAATATGCATGGTGAGTTCTGTCTGGCCAATGGAAGGGTAGTTATGAAGGGCCACGATGATGCTCTCCTGAACAGCTGTAGAGCCACAATACATGGATATAATCAGAATGTAAAAATATAGAGTAACAAAAAAGATTAAATTAAAACATTTTACCAGAAGATTCAGGTACGGAACGGTTTTCTAAAACAGTCATATGTGAGCGGCATCTGGTGGGACATGTGCCCATCTTTTCTTGGCTGCTGCAAATGAAAGAAAACTACTGTGAGCTTGAAAGGCTGATTTAGAAGAGTGGCCTTATGTCAAAATAGATCACACTAAATAATCTCTGTTATGTCATATAATAAGTGTATTTTATTGAGCTCATATGTAACTTGGCAACTAAATTTTGATCAAACAGGAAGTTGCTAAACCAGAACATTTTCCATCCTCATCAGTTTGACCACATCAGGTGACTGCCTTTTTATTTATGTATTTTCTGTAAAACTGAAATTAAATATGTATTGTTTGTTAATATAATACTTGCATTTACTTAATAGCATATAAGAAAGTCAACAACAATAAATAACTTTTGCATTCGAAGTCAAAATATTAAATATAAACTTACCTTTAATAAAGTTTTTATTTGTATATTCAGTCCAGTGAGTTTTGCCCAAATCCCAAATCCTATGTTTGGAGTGCCACACACAGTTTGCGTCCTTTGAGGCCTTGATAGTGTGAGCTTAGGTTCCTCTACTGTTCCACTCAAGCCTGTTCTGTTTGTGCAGCTGTTTGTAGAAGTTGACTGAAGATGCGGCTTCCTGGCTTTTATAACTGCTCCACCACTGGCTTCCTGTGACGCGTTGGGCCTTGACATTAATCTAACATATTATGATCTCTTCCAGTGTTGTCATCTGTTTTTTGTGCTGTGCAGATATATTACTGACATGTAAAAGATGAAAGCAGTCGTGTCATTACTCCAGTATTTCCAGAAGTCTCTGTTTTTTGTTTTTTTTTTGCTTAAAAGTTTCACATATTCAAATCTTATGCAATTTATCAACCAAAAAAAGCTATAAATTTCTATCCACATGCCTTCACATTGAGTTTTTTTTGTTGTAAATATATAATCATTTGTTTTTATGTTCATCTTTGAAACAAAAGGTAGTATTATTATAGTACTATTATTATAACACAGTTTATAGTCAAATTTACCAAATTTGGTAAAGGAATGTCACATTAAATTTACACTAAAACAGATTCTTTTCACACACACAATCACATTTGTGGATTACAAAGTGGCTTCTTAATTCTGCCATTGTAAAAAATATTCAGTGCCACAACAGCACAGAAATTATTCATGATTTAAATTTGTGACAATGTGTGACAGTTACGAATAGTAAATGAACTAATAATATTATGTAAGTAGAAGCACAAAGCAGTGGCCAAAACTGAATCTAATTCCTTCAAATACCCAGAGTACAAAAGCAAGGTAAGGAAATTTACTTGTGAATGTAATAGAGTACTATCCTTTGGTGTAACTGAGCTCTTATGCTTTTCTGCTGGTGTGGTTTGTTTATGAATGCTAAATATAGATTCAACTTTGACAAAAGATCTACAGATCGAGAACTGTGGTTGGAAAATTACCACCACAGTCAACCTGTTTTTCACTCTCTTTGTTCAGAATCGTGCCTTTTCTCTGCAATGACTATGTTCTTAAGTTCATGCACTATTTTTAAAAAGCTCAAAGACAACGATAATGTTGTTACATTTTATTCAGTAGTAATATACATGAGTTGAACTAGCATACAGTCCAAGGGTACCTTCTGTATTCAAACCAACATGAGCACTGAACCAAAAGAATCAGAGAACACAAAAATTAATAAAAACAAGAAATAAAGGAGTTATCCTAAATACAAAAACTTCATATTAAAAGAACACTGAGCGACAGGGTCAACACACGTAATAGCTGCTGAACTTAAGAGTGCTCTTACAACTGCATTAGCCATCTGTGTCACATAGTGGCGGTCTACTTTCAATATCACTGCAGTTACAGTCAATACAGTATACATGTAGCAGCATGCTAACACTTACATCAAGTCTCTTTAAAGCCTACAGACTGTCTCTCAAGTTTTTAGTAAAAAAATGAATGAACTGGGTAAAATGTAGAATCCCGGAACAAAACAGCAAGTTAAAACAAAGATGCAAAACTAGCTAAAATGAAGTAGTAAGCGGATCATATTGTAGTGAGCTTAAATGTAAAATACAGATCACCGAATGGAATGTTATTACAGTAGATATAATATAACTTTATAATATAATATTTTGCCTCTGTTATACATTTTATTTAATAGCATCCTTCTCTACATTATACTGTATTTATTATGGAGTCTTGTGGCATTCGACTGCTGAATGAGAGGAAATGAGGGGCACATAAGTTATTTGTACAGGATAAAGTAGTGGCCGTGATTTTAGCAGGATACTTCCATGGTCTGGGGTCCAGGTGGGCTGTCAATGCCCCCAGAGCCCTCCAGCAAGCTGTTGAGGTTGTTACGACTGCGACTGCTCTCCATAGAAGTGATGCTGGAAGAAGAGGTGGTGCGTGAGCGAGACAGGCGAGTCATTCCCGCTGACGGCACTGAAAAGAGGAAAGAGAGAGGGGGCATTAATATTCAGAGCACACCGCTCAGTGTCCCAGTGCAGAATGGGAACACAAAAACCTGGAGAAAAGCATGGCATAAACAGTGCAGACCATGCAAACACATATCACAAACAGAAGATAGTCAAATGAACAGAGAAACAAAACCAATAAAATGAGAAAAACAAATAACAGAACGTCAAACAACTGTTCTGGTAACACTCCACAGCATGCAAAAATATGTCAATAAAAACAACATGCAAAGAAGAAACAGAAACCCTCTAAAAATGTAAGATCATGTGTACATTGACATTCATCTATCAGCGTAAGAGGCAGGTGGCTTTTAACTCTATGGACTGCTCAACAAGCTGGTACCTGATTCGTTGCTCAGGTGACTGAGAAGAACATAGGGGACTGGAGGTCAATAATAAAGCAGGAAAGAGAAGAAGAAAAGGGATCACGTTGAAAGCGCCGCTCTGATGTAGCTTTAATTTGTGATCACAAAGGACTCATTGAATTTCAATGGTTGAAGAAGGTGGACAGAATGGAAAGCAGGCCATGTTTGCAGACTTTTGAACTTTTGACTGTGATTTTCACATTGTAGCTATGTGTTAATATGGGAAAAGCTGCTTTGAGAAACATGCCGTGGTGTGTCACACGAGTGCACAGTGTGAAAACACTTTTTAATCGGCTCTAATCCTGCAGTGGCATTTGATCAACGGGGGTATTCTGACTACACCCAAAGGTGCCTCCAACAGCGATGGCTTTGGAACAGAGCAACAGAATAAGCTTTAGGAAAAACAAACGTCATCTGCACTCAGAGCAAACAAAAACATGGTTTTCATTTTGGATTAGGTCTTTCCAGATGACTGTAAAAACCTGACGACCTGTTTAACGATGCACATTTTTGCATTTTTAAACAGGAACATATCAGAAAGAAAAAGGGCATTTCCAAGCCCACACAGAACTGAATCAAACTGATGTGAACTTCAGTATAAATATCTGTCATTTCAGTCATGACAGCAGCACACAGGCCTCACCTATTGAGGGCTGTGGGAGCCAAACACTGTAAAGAGCACAGAGGATATGACGTTACCACCAGCCTCATAGTCTGCCCCTCTGCGTGGCCTGATAAAAAAGCCTTTTCATGTGTCCTCAGTCTGAAGCAGGGCTGTCTGTAGCTGCTTGAATACATAACACAGGCTACAGTCCCCATTACAAAACACACTGCGCTCATGTAAACAGGAAATTCAACGTTGAACACGGACCTTGACCACAAAGACGTCAGCCCAAAAAGGTGTTAGTTGGAACCATTTCATTTAGTATCACCACAAAACAAGACAATAATATTTACTTACTGTAGCCCATGCCCTGGACAAAATACTTGAAAGCTTCTGCAAGTTTTCCTGGCTGTAACCATAAATTGAATTAGTGCTTCGCTAAATGCAAAATAAACATGGTTTAGTGTCTCAAGAGGTACCCACCTGCACAACCTGGGGCAGACCTCCGCAATCAGCCATCTAAAAAGAGGCAGAAGAAGTAGTAATTAGCACTTCAACAAGACATTTCAACCATATCCTGTAAGTTTTACCTTTAGGAGTGTGGTCTTGGTGGGATTTAATCTAGAATTACATTCCACCTGAAACACAGAAGACACATTTGGATTCAGAAAGGGTAAGTTGGTTCACAGTTTGAGACTTGAAGAATTTGGAACTCACCACAGCCTCCACAGCAGGAGATGTGTCACCAACCACTAGTAATGCAGGGCATCTAAATTGATATGAAACAACAGATGATTATAAAAGTCAATACTTCTACAGGGGCCTGAATGATCCCATGGGCCTGAATCATCCCATAAGCCTGAGTTTGTTTCCTCTATATGCTGTATGGACAATGTGGATAAATCAATATTGTTGTTCCAGCCACTGTACATACATGAGAGTGTTGACTGTGTCCTCATTCAGTCCAACAATGGGCCTCTCGATTCCCAGATCACGCCGACTACAAACAGACAGGGAAGGTTCAGCACCAAATAGTGCCAAAATCAAATGCAAATACATGGAAGAATGACCACTGTATGTCTTACTATTGGTAAGATCCACAGAAGAGGGCCAAGTTGTCCTGGTTAATGTCTTGGGCAATGTGTAGACGGTAGGTCTGGATCAGCTCTTGGTTATCCGTTAGCTCGTCCTAGTGAACAAAATAAGTACCTGAACTCATTACAGCAGCTTTAATTTACAAAGTAACATCTACAATACAAATGTTACAAGTCTACAAGTGTTAAAGTGTATAATCAAAATGTGACAGTGTGAGATGAGGTACATGTGCCAAGGGAAATCAAGACAAGTCTGTGTTTTACAGCTTCAGTCTATTATTGAAGATAGGTCAAGCCAAAGAATAATGAGGAAAAGCACACAATAAGAACGACAGATAGACCTACAGTGCTGAAATGGTGAGCCATGACGATATCCACCAAATTACTGGTCCACCCAGAAAGCTGCGCACAAACAAACACAAGTAAAACAATCAAACAACAAAATCCTTTGTTAATGAGAGGCACTATAATGTAATCGTGTTTGTAGAGGACTTAACAGAATATATTCTATTAAAATATGATAAGCAAAAACATAAACTCAATCTCAATTATTTATGTTGTCTGTACAGTTTCCAGCTGGGGTTGAGCTGACCTTTGAGGCGGCCCAGTCGATCCATCCCTCAGCGCAGGGGTCTACGTTGATGAGCACCAGCCCCTCCACCAGGCTGGGGTTGTTCAGCTGAGAGTAAAGACACAGGTGAGTGAGCAGCTGAAGTCAACATGGCATCAGTGCTAGCTACCATAAAATGTCGACAATGTTGTTATTATTAAACCTCTTTATATACACATATTGGCCTCTTGAGACTCAGTGGCCTGTTGACAGGTAGTAAATAAAGTAAAGAGGAAGGTCTATGGCTATTGATATGAATGAATACTGTAGTAGCTTAAGCTAAAGGTGTCCTACAATTACATTAGCCAGCTAATATAAATTTTCTTGTAGCACAAAATGCAGAAATGAGCCAGCAGTGCATTTTCTTAAACAAAAACATGAATCACAGACTAAATTAAAGGGAGTGGTAAAAAAAATGCCTGAAGACAGATGGGACATTCATTCTCCATACAAAGATTGTGCTTTCAAGTAGATTCAAATGCCATACACCAATGAAGGACTTAAATCTATGGAGGTATAAACTAACATTATGAATCTGGCCGTTTTAAGAAATATGTTTTCTTTACATAATGTAAGGAGAGCTATTGAAAGCCCTGGATAGAAACCATTTACAGTTCAGTCCACAGTCTTCTCTTTTTCATTATTCATATGTTGGCACTCCTTCGTTCCTCCTTGTCACTTCTTGTATTTTCTGCTCCACTGGCCAGTGTGCATGCTTATTTTCGGTGATAAGTATGGACATAAATGAAAAACTGTGTCTATCAGCTACCGGTTTCTTTCTTTTTTATAATTAATGTACTTTATTATCATTAAGGCATGTGGTTACTCTAATGAAATAGTTGAAATAGTGATGTGAACAAATACTAGCTTCATACTCACAGCAAAGCGAGTGAGAACATAGGCTCCTGCTCCTACACCAATACCAATCACGCTGTTGACCCTGTAGACAGACACAGGAAGTTAGTCCAGCTCTGCAAATCAATACCTTATTTATGCACATAATGATCGGTTAGCCATCACTGAGAAACAGGTAGAGAGAGACACTTACTTGAGCTGAGTCAACACTGAGGGCAACATTTCAGCGAGCTCATCCATGGTGGGGTAACGGTATCTGAACACAGACATTTCCAAAATTATTGCACATACATACAGTCTGCTCACTTGTAATGTAGCCAATCGGTGTAATAAAGTCAAGTAGCTTTGTTTCATTTACTTTGCTGCAGGATTCTGCAGAAAAATCTAAATAAACATTGCATACTAAATCAATTCTAGCACACAGAACTGATTGTAATAAAAGTGTGTGCTGGTCCTCTGTCTATATCAAGTCACAAAAAAGCACGTACCCACTGGGGAAGGGGGGAGCGCCCTCCTGTTGTCCGGGTGCATCTACATGAACTACAGCAAAGTGCTGTGTGATCTCCTGCATGTCTTCATAGTTAAACAAGGTGTTGAAGCATGACTTGTCTAGAAAATAAGTCATATGGAAAATAAGTCATATGGAGTGTGGAGACTTAAAGCTCAAATAAAATGACAGACTTACGGTTGAGGCCGATGTCATGATAGGTGAGGATGACAGGTCTGTTGCCTTTTGGCACCCCTCTCATGGTAACATGGAGCACACCATGGGGTGTCTCAATGTCATGCTCCTGTAGGCACAAACAATAGCCCATTGCTATAACAAATAGACAGAAATTGTGATGCTTTCAAGTCCTTACAAAATCCTTAGTTTAAAAAGAAATCATCTCTACGCGTATACTATATGCACACAAACTCCAATAATCAAAATAGTTTTCCATAATTGAATCACAAACTACAGTGAGTTGTGAGATTATATTTATTCATCTTAGTCAGGAGTCAGTACTCTGTTCTCACATATGTTCACAACTGCTAAGCAGGCAAAAACACAACATACATTGTATGAACAGACCTTTAGGGTTAACAACTCCACATAAATTACACAGCAAATAAACAATATTTGCATATTATGGTGCAAATCATGTAATCACCAACTCCTGATCCAGTGTCCACACACCCTTCATGTCCTTGGCCAAACAAAAGACTGAAAGGACCCACTAAAAAGGGATTTCAAAATCTACTCAAAATCAATTAATGTCAGAACAAAAACTGTTTCTTGAGTCTGGTTCATCACAAGGTCAGCATGACTTAATACAGTATGATTAGTAGTCTACATGAGGCAGGCGGTTGGTCCATCAATGTGAGCCCAGATAATAGTGAAAAGCAAAGTTCGAGCACCTAATGGATGGAGTTCATTAGTGTTACTTTAGCAGTGTTCAAATGTTAACTCCCAAGGACAAACCTGCAGTTATTGTATCAGAAATTTGCAGTGGGTGTAGCAACAAGGAATATAAAGTCCTCATCTCAACAGCAACGACTGCAGACATTGCGGAGAGAAAATAGTTCTAAGTTTATCAATCAATAAGCCTTAAGCTGCACCAAATACTGTGCAGTGAAACATTACACAAAGCCACAATGCTGTTACTACAAATCCAACATTCATTCATTCATGCTGTGTGCAGGCCTCCAGCCACTCAGAGGTCTTTTACAGAGAATGAAAATACACTACAGCCCACAGATGGTGGGGGGCAGAACAACCAGTTTAAGAGGGAGAAGAAAGGCTCAGGGGCACCAGTTGGAGATTTGTCATTTTTGAACAAGGACTGAATCAAGGACATTTGACTATGAACAAGCAAAAAAACCCCAAAACATTTCAGATATGATGAGTGAACACTGCAGTAAAAAATAGGAAACTGAACTTGACAAAAAAGAAGGTCTAATTTAAAAATGACCAAAAAAAAAAAAAAAAAAAAGAGTCTGAAAGTGGCTGTCAGTAACTGGAGCATGAAAGCATAGCATGGGACATGACTAACACAAGGGTGTGTCTTAAAAGAGGAAGGGTAGGTAGCAATAATTCATTATCCTCTGCTCCTCTGCCTGCTGTGACCAAGCACAAACAAGGAGGGGGGCATCTGCTCTGGTGTGGCTCCTGTCGTGATTTGGCTCTGTATTGATCCATGCATTCTCTTCATCATTCAGCCTCTTCCACGTGTGTCTAGTTACACACACAAGTACAAATATGGTCTTTACAGGAACAGGCGAGGCGGGTGGGGCAGGAGACAGCCGTACTGCAGATTTTTACAGCATCCCAACACTGGATGCACACTGCAGATGGCAATGAGACACAATACTGTTTGAGCAGAAAGTGTGTACTTGTTTTTTGTCCCAGATTGAGCTGAAGAGAATGAGGAGTTAAGTGTCACGTTGCTCTCTGTCCCACCATCTCCCCCCTTGTTGTCCGCGCCCCACCAGGAGCTGCATCAATCACCTCCCAGAGCCTGACCAGAGGGCACCAACAGCACGTCAATTGCCACTTATTCAGCAGCTCACATGGGACATTAAAGGGGCGACCACTCTCCACACAGAACACATGAAACTAGCAATGAGCTGAAATGAAAATCAAGGTGTGGATTTGACAGGGAAAGAAAAGGAAAAAAGAAAACTATTACTCTGCTTTTGTGTTTTCATGTTAGATTTTGTGGACGTGAGTGAGTGACCTCGCAGTGCGTCTAAAGGGCTACAAATACATATGGCCAGTACACTATGCCATGGTTCCAAACAAGCAGCTATCCAAAAATGATAAAGTACAATGCTCTATGCAACACTAGTAAAACTATCCAGTGCAACTCCAACCTGCACAATTAACATGCAGGTTTAAGATATCCTTTTCTAGGAATACTACACAAAAATAAAATCTTCTGTGGAGAAAATACTTCCAAGTCTGTGCTAAAAGTGTTGACTGACAAAGCCTAGAAGACCTTACTTGCCTGGCCAGTTGTTCTTTAATTGTTCCTTAAAAACACAGCACAACTGTCCCTCTAATGAGAAGTAGCCAGGTGTCTCTGTGCACGACGAGGATGTCACTCACCACTCCATTCCCGGAGCATGCGAGCTGGTCCAAATCCAAAACAGCTGACATGTTTTTCCCACGCAGCGGCAAATGACTGTTATGCTATGTGCAAGAAGGGTGTGCTGGGCAGCTCTGAAGGCTTCCAAAAGGAGGAGGAGGAGGAAGGTGGGGATAGGGGTGGGAGGGCAGGGTAAAGACAGAAGAGGATGGATAATCTGAATGGGAAGCTGAAGAGACGGAGACGAGAGAGAGACAAGACGAAGGAGGAGAGTAGGAGGGGGTGGTGGTTGAAGGAGAGTGAGACTGCAGTTTGTGCTTTGGTAGTCTCAGCGCGTCCGTACATCAGCCACCGCCGCCTCTAATTGGATTGCAGAGGGTCAGGTGGGTAGTAGGAGGGGGTGGGGCTGAGGAAGAGGGAAAAGCAGGGGGAAGGGTAATGGGGTGCAGCAAGGATATTCAGGAAAGCGCAGTCGAGCTCACATCACGAGCCGACTTTGACAGCACGCCCTTAGCACTGCATCAGCAAAATGGCGGCTTGTATTTACTATAGTGTCACCCGAACTGAAGGAGGATGGATTGTGAAGATCACAATACAGTGTGTCATAGTAAACTGGAGTACAGATCATCTATGACCTTTTGATGCTAGCTTGTGGCACATGTTTTGACTCTTGTAAGACATGCACTTGGTTGCTTTATTGTTGTTTTCTCAATCATTTTAAAGTCAAAGTCTAGTTTGACCTCTGTCTGTAGGTCATCTGAGCCTTGTAGTTTATTGATCTACCACTCCTAGTATGCTTTGTCATCAGCCCAATGCAAGAAGAAAGCCTATGACTGCCACAGTAGCCAATAGCATGCATAGAACTGCTCTGAGAAGGCGGGACTTACACACAAGAAGCCCGATTGGTCAGTCGTTGTGTGTTGTCTGCTTAGCCGCCAACAGATGGTGACATGTTACATCAACTGAAGTATGAGCCCAATTTTGAGGGCTAATTCGTAATACCGTACACAGCAGATGATGCTTGGAATGGGCAGAACACAGACATGCTGCATGTTTTTCGTGATTGGTGATGAGCTCAGAGAGCATTTTAGAGTTCTTTTACCTAAAAAAAGTAGTGGTGCATGGAGGTGTGCACTATAATGACTCATCAAGAGTCAGCAGGACCCTTTGTTCTGGTGGTCACACACTTAAGCCTTCTACAACTACACAAAAATGTGGGAATAAAGCCACTGATCCTTAGCCACTGGTGGGGGACTTACATGAAAGGATCAGACGATAAGCCCTGTCCTTTCAGAACTACACTCACTTAAGCAGGGAATAGCAGTGTAACCAAAGCAACCAAAGTATAAAAATGTGAATATAACAAAATTATACAAAAAAGGTAAAGCACAAAAAAGACCTGCACTCGCATAAAACCGAAACTACAATCACAGAGCCTGGGTTGCTGAGCCTTAACCTTAACCTAATACTATTTAAAAGTTTGATTTTCAAAAAACGGTGAGTAACTAAAAAGCTATTGTCTAATAGCAGCTAGCTTGTTATGAGAGAGGGACTTGTTTGACAGTACAAAGCAGTTCACCTGTTGTAGTTTCAATAAAGTCAATTCTTTCTGGTCAGACTGTGTTAAAATAAATCTCAGATCATCTAACTTGAGTAACAGTGCTTCAGACACACAGACTAAAAATATATACAGTCTGTGTTCAGACACAGTATTGACTTCAGTTTGCTTCCCACCCCCAGGAAATGTTGAGGACATCAGCTGCAACTGTACCGGACAGGTCATGTCTCTTGTGGATGCTCAGAACCTCTAGAAGATACAGAGGCTGCAGTACACTACCTCTGTGTGTACTATATATAACAGTATTTATCACTGAATAATGACTGAGAAGGCAGAGTGTATAACTGTCACTTAAAAATCCTAAAAGAAGCAAGTACAAACATTATAAAAGGCATCAATACATTTTTAGTCTGAGGCACTTGAGAATATTACAAATTAATAGAAAAAATATATTGCATTTACACATGTTTACCTCATATCTAGGTACACAGACAGGTCATGTTTATGAAACTAAATCCCACTCACTCTCCCTTAAATAAGGTTACCAAATTGGCACGTACAAAGAGGCACGCTTACAGTGCCCTACTGCCCTCTACTGACCATACTGAAACAGTGGGAAAACAAGAGCCACCTGTTCTCAACAGCATTATCTGTGGTCAGTTTTCTAAAATCCATGCAGGCCCCACACAAAAAGTCATTATCATGCAAACCGGTAAAGAACATTGAATGAAAATGCCACCACAAGGGAAGATGGATTTCAAGAGCCTGTATTAAATCCACACAAAGCTTCTTGTTTTGAAGGGTAGGATAGGTATTTTTACCACGTTATAAACAAGCTCCAGTTACATTAACTTGTCAAGTTATGTTTATGCAAAATATCCACAGCAGCCCACAACCTTTTATCTTGGAAGGACCAGTAAGACCCAGTACTGGATGACCTGCAGCAGATGACCCAGTTATATGAATACTTGGCTCTGAAAATATGAATTAATGTCATTCTATGACCAAAAATGCTGCAGTGGCACACCCTCTGTAGTTTGACCCATTTTGTTTGTTCAGTATGGAAACTGCAGTTGCACATTACAATTCTACAACCAACTCCCTGAATGAACCAGCAGAGGGCGCTAAACGAGCAAAGGTATGAGGAAGAGAGGGCTGGATTTGTCCTCCAGCTGTGGGAATGTCACAACAGAGGCACAGATCACCTCCCCCACATCGACATATTAATGGACAATCTGCTGCCAAAGCTTAACACTGCTATTGAAAGTATGTCATCTATGTACATGACCCACTGGGTTATGAACTGGCAGAAAGGGGTCAGACACAACATTTAAGTATTTCATCAGACTAGAGTCGACTGAGAACCTATAAATGTACCTTCAAATTGTGTTTTAGCTTGATTCAATGTTTCTAGCACATTTGTTTTGTAAAATCATACTGTTCATCTGGTTATGTGGTTATACCAAAGGAGGGCAGTAGTGTAAAAAAGATTAATCATTTTGTATTTTAGTGCAGACCGAGTGTGACTTGAAACACAACCTGAAAAAAAAACTGAAACATACATGCTTAAAATATAAGCATCTTTAAAAAAGTGTTGTGCTGCCTGAAAGGGTGTCGGACAATGCAGAGGGACACATGCTGCAGCCAGTGTATGCTGTGAGGGCAGCATGCTTGCTCCCTCCTGCTGCCTGCAGAGGCTATATTTAGCTCTGGTGGGATGCTCTGAGAGACTGCAGAAAGTGAAACAGGGATGAAAGTGTTAACCCTTTGTACCCACGACACTCAGGAAAACTGCAGGAAAAAGCTCTAGGGCAAACTAAAAAGGCTACCAAAACATTGGAAAAATATTTTATTATACAATATAGCTGCTTCTTCAAACAGCAATGATTAGTATGAAAATTGAGTGTTATTTATTAGATTTCAACAGAATAAAAAATTAATTCTTCAAAAGGAATGGGAGGGTTAAACATTCTGCCAAATATCAGCAGAGTTATTTTAGGTATTCTCTGGGGAGGGAGGTACACAGAAACGCTGAGCTAAAAAAACTATAAAGCAGGTTTCTGTACTGATTTTTGTAGTGTTTCAGACACACGCCCCACACTAAATCGATGTCCAGTCTCTCAAATCCTGTTCATCTCACTAGATACTGATAGTTCTCTTACTCTTTAGACAATTCAGCCTTACAACATGACCAGAGTGAACCAATTATGCATCCCCAAATTATTTCAATTGGATTTAAATACCAAAAACAGAAAGGTTTGAGGGCTGTCATTTTTAACATGTATGTGTGGTATACATCAAACAACTATGAACAGCAATTTAGCACTAAGTAGGTATGCTGGGATTCTTCTATTTAACATGAACGTGGACAGTCAAAATAATTACCTGGCAGTCAAAATCCTGGAAGTTGCGTCCATTCTGAAAGAAACAAACAAAATACACAAATTAGTAAATCATTTTCTTCTTGGCTATAGGTTCCTAACCTACCTAACACAAGGAACATTTGGCCAACTAATCTTTTATGGCTGAAATAATTCAACTAACATTTGATCCTAAGCATAGATCCCAAGGCATTTGTACTTCTAAACAGAACATTTATATATTACGTTTTGGTGATAAGCTAGTCAAGACAGAATAGACAGGAGTAAACTAGGCGCTGCCATTAACCACAGCAATTAGAGCCCATGTTAGTGTTGATGTTGACGGAATACAGTCTGCTTCTACAGGATGACACAGTGTCAGATTTGCTCAGAGACCCCAGTTAAACATTTAAAGTATGCTGCAGATATTTCAGGGAATGGCCTCAAAAATCATGAACGCAGAGCAGAATCACGTGCTAGTATTACCCAGTTAGACTCGTTATGAATGTATTATAAAATGCCTGTGATCAAAGAATAAATAAAAATGGCACAATGCATATATTTAAAAATGGAAAATAAACTACTTTTAGTGTTGATTGTTCATGTCTTACAGTAAGGCATGCTCTAATTTCCTGCTGGTAACCTCTACTAAAGGCTGATGTAATGGCTGGTCTGATCATTACAGTTGTCATGGTTACAATGCTGCCGCAGCCAGGGCAGTTTGTTTTTACAGGTCTGGTGCATCGCTAGATTAACTTACAATCACAACACAATCTAAATTTGTTTTTACATACACTCATTCTGTTTTGACCTTCCAGTGAGGACGCCACTAGAGGGAGTTAGAAGTGCCGTCCTTCATCGTGTTCTTTCACCTCTGTTCCCTTGTACAGTCTGTCTGTCACATTTTCACTCGACACAAGGCTTGAGAACAATAGAGTTGATTTTCATTCTTTTTGTGTGATGGTGTATGTGATGTAATGTACCCCCCCGGTCTGTGAAAGATGCCTGAGGGAGGACAAAACACTTGCAGCCCATTTCCTAATCAGCTACTGAGATGACGGAGTGGGAGATCTTTGATCTGTCTGGGAGATTTTTCTCTCTGCTGCGTTTCCATGTCATTTGGAAACAAAGAGGAGCTTCCTTGCCTTTTGATCCAACTTCATTATATCACCATAGTTTTTTTTTTTGAATTACGGTAAATACATAGTTCTCCTCATTTTCACCATGTATTCCTTAACACAATTCAATAGTCTTTCTTTCAATCATCATGCACCAGTGCCTTTCAACCTCTACATTATCAATTATTCACTGTGATGAATCAGTAGGACTGTCTTGTTCTGTACTGTATATTACTCTATGTATTTGCCTGGAAACATAACATGGATGATTCAGTGAGCCTGTGTGTAGCATGCTTTTGCACTTGTCCTGTCCTACTGGAATATTCACCATCCATGTACGGCAGTCGCCTGTTGCAGTTTACCTTATTGGTCAGCAGGGGCTTGATCTCAGTCAGCTGGACATCCTGAAGCTCATCCATATTTCTGTGTGCTCGATGTTGCCCACTGTCAAAAAGCAGAGAGCATTCATTATAACACAAAACACAGATGTAGAGATCTCATCAAAACTGAGAAAACCGAAAACCACTTTGTGTGAAGTGATGTCACATTATATAATTTTAGTGTCCCAGTTATTGTAATAATAGTTCAATGGCCCAAACATCATGCTGCATTTCTCACAGGTTTATACTGAGACTGTGATGGAGCACAAAAACATATCCCCCACATCTCCAATACACTGTTTACTGTATGTCCACAGACCATCTTTGAACATTCAGCTGAGAGCTGTGTTCCTGGCTGTTTTGGACCACTTGCTGCCAAAATATTGTTTGGCTTTAGTACTACAGACCCTTAAGACTCTTGTGGGTGAGTGTAGTAAATTTAAATCGCATCATTTGGAGAAAAAAATGGCCATACATATTACCCCAAAAATACTGGGTGGGCATATTGGCCAACGGTTCTAAAAAAGTTCTAAAAAAGAAAATTCTGAAAAAAGTTCTGAAAAAAAAAAGAAAATTCAGTCATCTCATGGAGATCCCTCATGTGCTCAGTCCTTTGTATAGACTCACGCAGTCTCTGAAAATACTTTTAAGGGAATCCTGTAATAGGTTCACAAAACTCCTTAATACCCCAGTCCATTAAACATAGGCAGAGTGTGCTGGGTGATTCAAGCCTGAATCTAGTTTGTATCGTAATAGTATAGCAGCACACAGATAAAAGTACCTTCATTTGTCCCACAATGGGAAATTGCAATATTGTAGCAATTATAAGAACAGCAGCAGTGAAAAAGTGATGCCAAAAATAATAAAAAGGTCAGGAAAAAAATTTAAAAACAAAACCCTCTCATACCGGTTGATCACAAAAACATACAAATGCAGCTTTCAATGGTATGATTTAATCTAAAACATCATGCAAATATCCAATTATCCAAAATAGAAACTCCAACCAAATGCTTCTACTATCATGGGAGTGGCTTGTAGTTATTACTTGCCCTAATAAATAAAAAAAATTCAAACAGACACATTAAAACAAAAAAATGCTTCAACACATTACAGCAATTGTAGCATAAGAAGTAATAAAGCAGTACAGTAAAACTGCTTAACTTATAGTTGCTTATGATATTAATGAGGAGGAGGTTTCTTCAGAAACAAGTGCCCTCTGTATGCATGCAGAAAGAGAAATGTTGAGAAGGCAATGTTTTAACAAATGCACAAAAGTCTTCATTTGTGTTCCCCCTGAAGCAGTTTGTCCGTGCCTATCATCACAGTCCAAGTCTCCTCCCCTTCTCCCTGAAATACGACCCAGAAGGCCTGTGCGGGAGGTGAGAACAGGAAGTACTATTGTATTACCTGACTGGGCCAGGTTGACAAGGACTCAGGTTGCATATAACAACACCTCAGCCAGGACAATGCCAACATCTGAACTGAGGCTAACAAGGACACAGCACACAGACACACAGTGAAGGGAAAGTGCTAAACACAAGCGGGAGTGGCTACACCCTGGGCCAGAGCCAGCCCATGAATAACCTTGGACACTTTGACCTCCACAGCCTATCTACCATGGTTGACGGGGACAACTATGCAGCATGTCTGAATTTCCAGTAGATGCATTTATGATGACAAGACAAAGAAGAAAAAAGACCGCAGACACAGAAAGCAGGTCAGAGGTCATTCTGCTGGGGCAACAGATTGCACTCCCATTATAATTGTCTGGGATTCAGATGGGTACAACTGAGTACACTGCTCAAATTACATAAAACAATCAAAAAGGAAAAAGAAAATTGAGTGTTGAAAGCTCTCAGCCGTCAGCTCAGAATTGAAAGCATGCCCAGCAAAATCCCTGCTGACAAATCCAGCTCAAGAGTGGATTTGAGAAATATTTAGACAAGTGAACAAGGAAATGGAGAAACAAATGTTGGACGTGCTTTAGCAGATTGATTACATTGGCCAGACCAATCCAACACTTCCTGGACTGACCACAGCAGTCTACCTGGTAACAGAGGTGTTAGGAGACAGCCTGTCAGTAACTTTAAGCTCCCCATGACCCTGACCGGATTTCTCAACCTCAGTGACCCTGATCCCCAGTTAATGCTCCAGGCAGGCACACATCTGTGTACAGCAGCACACACTCAATCTGCTGTGTGTGTGTTACTCTTGTCTCTTACAGTCAAAAACATAAACAACCAAAAAGAGTCCCTAAAGGAATGCACTTGACCTTATGAAAAAAAACTCTAAAAATAAAAATATTATGTTATCATGATTACAAATTTCACAACCCTTTGCATCAAAAGGGTTAGCTAAAACACAAAAGGACTTTTATGTGGTTTTATTTATAATGGTGTTGCTCAACATTAGCTACAACATTAGCTATTAGCTGTTATGTTTTGATTGATTCATGCATGTTTGAGTAATCCTGTGTTGTCTTTGTGAGTGTTTTTTTTACCCATTTCTGCTCACTTTTTTGTACTTCAGGTTATTCAAGCTAATCAACCTCATTGTCATACATGTTGGTTTTAGAAATTTCACATAAATTTCACATTTCAATTATAAAATCAAGTAAATAAGAATACCTGAGTAAAGCATAATGTGTCTTCATTAAGAACTGAATGCTCATTTATGAAGCACAAAGTCTGTGACCTACATTTTCCAGGCTAGTGCCAAACACGACGCAGGAAAAACTGCCATGACACCAAACTTAAACTAAGAGTTAATTTTAAAATTTTAAAATGTTCTCGGCAAAAAAACAAACCAGGTTGTTTTTAGGCTATGGGTGGTGCCATAGTTGCCTCTATTAATAGATGCCTAGAATTAATAATAACATCAACACCTTTTCGTCTCATCCTTCACTGCTGACTCTTCAGCATGCACTCGTGTTGCCATGGAGACCAAACCTGGTTGCCAATGTTTATTTAAAGCTGGGCCAACCCCACAGGATGTGTAGCGGTCTGAAAATTAGGGGAATAAATGAGTGTTACAAATGAAAACTATAGCGCCAAAAACATCTTTTACTCAGACTTCAATGACTGTATAACCAAGTCCAAACTTCAGTTTCGCTGAATTGTTTGTGTACATTTTCTGTATAACAAAGCTCAGAATTTTTCCGATTTTGACAGAGAAACTTCCCACATTTACAGATTAACCTTATTTTTTTTTAAATGGTTAAGGAATATACACTTTCTCATAGTCATAACTGAGGCAGAGGCACTGAATCACAAAAAGATTATGCCAAAATAACATCTGTCACAGAGATCTCAGTACCCTTTGTACCTTTGTATAGTAATGAGGTATAATCATTCACCTATTACACCTATTTAATAATAATAATAATAATAATAATAATATACTAGCTGAACATGATTTGTGCTTCGGTATTCATTTTAAAATAAAATTCAAAAGGAATTGTATATAGCTGTATCCTCACTGTAAAAAAGTAAAATATTGTTACGCTCACATCCTAGAATGAGCACAATGCATCTAGTAGGTTTTGTGTGAACGACTGTCAGCAGCAGTACTGACTGATGAATGAGAAGTTTCTCCCATATTTCTGTTCTCACTATTACCCGTCACTGTCCATCTCATCTTGACCCTGATACACAAACACAGCTACGAGCGGCAGTGACTTCCCGTGGTTCAATTAATATGTTTTTAATCACCATCACCATGGCAACAGCAACCTCACACCAGCCTGTTATCATTCACACCGCACCCAGGATGCAAGTTTGACCTCTCTGGCAGCTCCTTGTACAAAGGGATGTTACCACATAACCTCATATTAACCTCGCTGAGGTAGTGGTCTTATTATTTCACAAAAGCGGAACAAATGTCTGCTTGTTTCTAATAAACTCCATGATGTAATATCAACTGCATAAGATGAAACATGTACAGTATTCTAAATTATGTTCTAAATTCATGTTACCCACTGGAAAAGGACTATCATTTATTTTAATAGATATACTACTAACTTTACTTACTTGTATTACTTACTTAAATACAGTGTGACTGCCCTTTGATTATGTAAAATTGTATTTCCCTCACAAGGTCTTCACAGTAAGTATAAAAACAACTATTACACCTCCTTTTTTTGCAACTTTTTGTAAGCAGGCCAAGACTTTTGTTTACGGGGCACAATCTGCAAGAACGCCAATCCACACAGGAGTAGAGCTAATGGGCTGTGACAAAGCTCAGACCCAGATTACTTCTCTAACCCGGTATGTTTGGTAAGAGAATTATATGGGGAAAAATCCATTTGTATTTCTGCCTCTTGTCAGGTTAGAAAACAAAGTGGAAATAAGGGGATACTATTCAACCTGGCATTGGATGAGCCATGAGAGGACATCTTGGACCCATAGCACCGGACATATCCTGCTGATAGTGTCACCAGTGTAAAACTCAGCGCAGTCTATGGCACACGCACACGCACACGCACACGCACACGCACACGCACACACACACAGACACACAGACACACAGACACACAGACACACACACACACACACACACTCGGGGAACGTTTCAATTGGACTTAATTAACCGACATCTGGCTCTCCTGAGGCTGCCCCACACTCTGTCTGCACACCTCATAATGTTCTCCTGATACGGCCAATAGATCTGGATTGTACAACAGAACTATCTCTCCAATCCCTCCATCTTGGCCAATAGGACTGCATGTTATTCTTTCACAGAAACAAAACTACTGAGAAGAAAAAATTTAAATGTGGCTCTGACATTACTCATGACATCATTACATCTGTAACCTGTGTTATTCTTACAAATTCTAGGTAGAGTCCTTTCACAAAGTTCCCTGTTAGAACGAGATGCAAGCACACCAGATTTTGCCCCATGATCATGAATTCTGTTACTCTACAGACTAAAGTGGGCGGGCAGTTAATCATAAAAAAAACTTTATTATACTTATATGACATTAGCAATTTCTAATAGATCTATAGATAAGACAATTAGCACAGCCATTTGTTCCTGAAAACTTTGAAATGGTCAAAAAAAAAAAAA